TATCAATATGTAATACAATAAGCATTGTTAATTCCCTACCACTCTGTTTGTAACTCTGTAATGTCTGTACCGATCCCATGCTATTTTGTAAAATGTTGTCGGTCTGTTAGTATTTTCCTCCTTTAATTTGTAAAAAAAAAAGAAAAAAGAAAAAACAAAGAAAATGGGCTGAGTGTTCCCGGTGCCCTGAGCGGCTTTCTACTTGGTTTGGAAAAGAGTCCAAAGTCCTTCCCTCAGTGTGGCTGCGACCTGCCTTCTATCTGATCTTTCCTGCCATCCCCTGCCACAGTAGCTCTCCGCTGCAGTGGCGTCCTCTCTGTACCTGTGACACTGAAAGGTGCTCTGGCTCTCTAGACCTTGGTGTTGGATGCTCCCCTGGCTTGGAAGGCTCTTTTTCATCTTCAGGGACAGTGACCCTTACTCACTCACCTGGCTTTCAGGCTGACACACGTCCTCTCATTCACTGCTCTTGCTGGCAGTCATGACACCACAGGCATCCTAATGAGAACTGCTGGGTAGCTGGGGTTATTGCTGCTTCCTGCCCCAGGGTGCCAGCACTTGAGAGCGGAAGGATGAATTCTCTTGTACTAAGTGCTGATTTCCAACTCACCAAAGCGAGACTCTGCAGAATGGGCGCTCAGACAGCTGCTACAAGAGCAAATGAAGCAGTCTCACTCCCCAAGGGCCTGACTTTTTTTCCTTTTTTCTTTTTTTTGAGACAGGGTCTCACTGTGCAGTTCAGGCTGGCCTTGAACTCACTTTGTAGCTCAGGCTCGTCTCCAACTCACAGTGATCCTCCTGCCTCACCTGCTGAGTGCTGGGATGACAAGCATGGCCACCATGCCCACCTGCCTGCTTGTTTTCAGCACTGTGTTTGTTTACTCAGCTTTCCTCAGTCCCAGTTTTGCACGTTCTCTCTCTTTCCTGCATGCCTCGCTTTCCTTTGGCTTCCTCTCCTCTTCCAGGGCATTGTGGGGAATTTTTGGCTGCTTTCTGATTGTTTTCCCACTTTTCTTTGAGACAGGGTCTAGTGATGGAGTTCAGGCTGACCTTTCACTCTCGGTAATCCACTGGCCTCAGTCTCCAGAGTGCTGGGATTACAGGCGAGCGCCACCACGCCCTGCTGGGAATCCATTGGCAATCAAGCTTCACTTGCACTACCGCACACAGCAGCTGGCACAGCCTAAGTCAGTGGTGGCAATGTTGGACATGCGTGCCACGGTGGGTGCACAAAGCGCTATGTTGCCACGCTAGCCAAGTCACCCCAGCAGCACCCCGGCAGTGGAGCATTCAGTTCTCATCCCAGTGCTGGCACTTTCTTTAAATGAGTAGGTTTGGAAGGGCAGCTTGGGTGTTCGAGCTCTAAAAGGTTCACAATCGCTGGCCTAGGTTCTGGAGAAGAGAAGGAAAAGGAATTAGAAGGTCAAGTGTCATGGTGCACTCCTGTAAACCCAGCACTCGGAAGGCTGAGGCAGGAAGATTGCTGCAAATTGGAAGCCAGCCTGGGCTACATAGGGAGCTCAAGGCCAGCGCAAACCAAAGAGCGAGACTTCCCCTGAAAAATGAAAAGAAAAGGACAATGGCGAGAGGCAGGTTTTGACTGGCGAGTACAGGGCCTAAGAATAGGGTGGATTAGGGTGGGTTAGAGTGGGTTAGGGTGGGTTAGGGTGGATTAGAGTGGGTTAGGGTGGGTCTGAGACTCTGGCAAGATAAATAGCCAGGCAGCCCCACACAGCAGCCACTTAAACTGAGGAGCTCGAGATCGTGGAGCAGGTTGAGATCTTGACCTGTCCTACAGCAACGATGCCCCACGTGCCAGGTAAGCTGAGACAGAGTGGGAAAGTGGGGCTGAGGGGTCAGTGGTGCAGAAACCAGGGTGAGAGGAGGATAATTCCTGGCGGTTCGGGACTTTGGGAATTATCTCCCACATGGGGATGAGTACAATACCCTTTGCTGCCCTCTGCACACTAGGAATTTCTATCTTAAGCTTGCTGCAAACGCAGTACATGACAGAATCAACATGCATTCTAGGGCTGGGGATATACTTCAGGGACATAAGCACCTTCCTCGCTGGCACAAGGTCCTCAGTTCGATTCACGGTACCAAAAAAAAAAAAAAAAAATCAACATGCATTCTGAGGTCACTTAACTTCATAGCTGCCCCTCCACACTGATCCCACCAATGAATGACCACATCAATAGCAGGTCTTCCAGATCTGAAAGTACCTCCGAGTCTACATGCTTAGTAGAGCAATGTCTCGAGTACTGCACAAACCTTGTGAACTCATGACTCAGTGGGACTCTCCTGCCAATACCGTAAGCTCTCCCAGTGAGGCACTGCTTGTGTGGAGGTGCAGAGCATTCACAGGAAGATGGTGAGGCATGGGTTGTATGGATGACCTTTTCGAGACAAGCCCTGACATGCAGGTCAGGCCCAGCCATGGTATTCACTTTTCCCTATTATCTGAACAGAGGGCTTCCGTCATTTCCTTCTGGTTATTACTTTAACGCAAGCCTTTTGCCTGTTCCCTCTGCAGACGATCTAAAATATAATCGCCGGCCACGAACCAGATTTACCCAGTCTCAACTGTCAGTATTGATGGATGCCTTTCAGAACAATAATCTTCCAAGCCTTGCTGTTATGAAAGAATTGGCTGCCACACTGGAGCTCGATGAAGTCTCGATAAAGGTAGGTGCCTGAGTGTGTCTCTGGGTAGTACACCTGACCCACAACGCCACACACTCTTCCTCACCATCGTACAAGTGCCCTGGATTGATAGGTGCAAGGTGTCTCTGCACAAGTTAAATATGTTACATTTTCAGCCTCACTCAGCCTCTTTTTGGGAGGAAGACTGAGTCTCACGAAAGAACTTGTCTTCAAACACTACCCAGCACAACACTCAGAAATTGAATCTTGCCCCACAGCACTACCTAGGACCCCTTCAGTCTGCATCTCAGATCCTGCCATTGGCATTTCTTCCCAAATTAGCAGCCCACTCTTGGGATTGGCCTCATGCTAGAAGACCTAACCCACTTCCTAGACACGGGCAGAAATGCTCTCCAAATGCCATATTCTCACACCAAATCACTTCTCATCATGCTCCACTTTTTCAAGCATACACCCTCTCCACACTGTTACACAGCAGACAAGCACCCACCAAGGGAATCTTTCCAAAATAGAACAGGTCAGTGTCTAGATACTGCTCCATCTGAACTTTCACTTTATTCAGATCTCCTCAAATAAACTCTCAGCATACTCAGGGTGAAATCCCTGCATGAACCTGCAACCACCCAAGCTACGTTCCCATTCTTGCCTCTCACACTTGGGAATGTTTTCTTCAAAAACCTAGAGCAACCACTCATTCAGGACGACACTCAGGTCCTCTTTATTTAGGCTTCCTTGATGTGGAGTCTGAGGGCTCCAGCCTCCTCCCCACATACACAGTACAAGTCAATCCTCTCTTTACCTTCTGACACACAAAGCACCACAGGAGACAAACAACTGCCCTTCTTCACATAAGCCCAAGCAATTGCAGATTTTCTTTCTCACACCCACAACCTCACTTGCTAAGGACCATGAAGATACAACTTTGCACTCTTTCCCCTTCCTTCAGCTGCTTCTCTTTTCCCTTTAGGTCTGGTTTAAGAACCAGCGTGCAAAACAGAAGAAAAAACAGCTGAAAATGCAGCTAGATTCATCACCTGGAACATCCATGCAACATGTTTTCAAAAAGGAAGAGGCTCCATGGCCAAAGCCTGCTACAAATCCTGCACCAAGCTCTGCCGCTTCCGATGGTCAGAACCCTCACCCACAGGAGCCCTCTGATGCACAGATCACTGGAAGAGATGGAGCCTCTGCGTTTCCTTCATCCTCACACACTCAGTGTCATGAAATCCAGGAAGAATCTCTGGAGAATTGGGACAAACCTTGCACTCATGATCTCCTTGATACATGTCAGTTGCTAGAACTCTACGACATGCCTGGAGAAGATGATCTCAGCGCTCTGAATCTATATCTCCTCCCAGAGTGCATCGAGTGAGGGAGTGAGCATGGCACGGATGTGCAGGGTGACCCCTGACACCACGGCTTTGGACTCGACCTACGTTGTCAAGCACAGTTACCAGCACATGTCAATCTGTATATAGTAGAGCTTGCGGACTTGTCATTTCATACAAGGAAATAAAAGTAGCTATCTCACTTTCACTGTTGCCTGTGTTCTCTCCGCTTCTTTTCAATGCTCCATCCAATCATTGCCATATCACACACCCTCTTCACGGGGAGAAAGTCAGCAGCACAGTGGAACTTGCGCTTCTCATTCTCCCTCACCCTAAGTGGACTGAATAAATCGTGTGTGGCTGCTCTCTGGAGAACATCGCAAACACTTCTACAGGGTCCCATGCCTAGGCTGCCTGAGAAAATAGTCACACTGAACAGGTTGGAAAAGCCTACGCACACAATGCAACCAAACCTCCCTCACTAGAGTGCCATACAGCTGCTAAGGAATCCCCAGCACCCAGCTCTCTCTGAGGAGAGAAGCATTTGGAACTCGCATGCTGCTCCCACCTCCAGGTTTTCCCTGCAGGGGAGGAGACCAGGCATATGGCAGTCTCCCTGTGTCATAGAACAAAGTAGTTATTTAAATCGGTGCTGGAATTCTTGCAGGGCTCTTGTCCACAAGGATCAGGTTATACAAGTGTGTCAAATTCAAATCTGCCAGTTTGTCAACAGAAGAGCTTGGCCAGGACACTTACAACTGCTCTACGCACTTGGTTCCTGCCTACACTGATCAGGCAGACACACTCACCACCTTAGAGAGCGAAAACAGAATTTTCACACTTCTGGAAGCCTCCTCCGTGGCTTAATTCTTTTTTAAAAAAAAATGAGTCCATTCACACTTCCTGGAAGTGGTTTGTCCATGCACTGAGTGTCCCTTCTTCTGCAACCTGAACCCCATTCTCAGAGCAGTAGCGAATGGGGATATGTGAGTGTCTAGATCACAGAACAAGCACGTGCTTGTAAACAGGACGCAAGCGTTGCTATTGCCACTCATTGTTCGATTGTAACAGAAAAAACAAATGAGCAGAGTGTAGCTCTGACAGCCACTTCAGCGTTAGAGCAGCGATGGTCCTCAGCCTTGTATGTTCCAGCTCTGGACCATGATGCCACGGGTTGCTTCAAGTTCATCCCAAAATCTCTTAGCAATTTTAGTGACTGTCACTAATCTTTGGCTGCTGGTCTCTGCAGCTCCTCAGAGTCGCTGGCTCCAGTGTCTCAGCCCTTTTCAAACAACCATTTGGTGCACATTACTCAGGACAAGAGCCACAAGTAGATGGACCGAACCTTCCAAACAGCTACTTTGACCACAATTCTAGAGAAACCAGTGAGGAGTAGACTTACACCATCAACACAGTGAGGCTTTACTTGAACCACACAGCCATGCTGCAGCACAGAGGGTGCTAAAATCTCAACAAGGAGCTCTCCTATACCACCTGAGAAAGTGCAAATGGAACCCTGCTGAGGTAGCATCAGCAGGCTTGTGACTGCTACAAAGCCAAGCCTGCTGGTTGGTCTGAATTTGGGCCTGTGACTGGTTGAATTTTGAGCCTGCTCCTGGATGCAAACTCAAGCCTGAGATGGACCAAAATTCAATTCGCCTTGTATTTATTTCAAAAGCAGACCTCCCAGGGGGCTTCAGGTCATCCAGGAGTCTCAGAGCTATCATCGGGACAGTTCTTTGGAAAACTGGGAGATGCATTCACTTGATCAGTTGTGTCAAGTATCTGAAAAAATGGGATAATGGGAACAAGACACTTTTTAGGAGCACTATCTGTGTTCCCCAAGTTTACTGAGATTGGGGAGTGTTAATTACTGTCTCGATCCCTCCCTGACCTTTTCAATGTTCAGTTTGATTTCTTGGCAGTGGCCTCTGGTGTAACAGAAGCAGGACAGGGCTGGGGACACTGCAGCTGACAGCGAAGCTATGCGTCCCATGAGAGTAGCTTGGATGGTGACCTTGAAGTTACCTGGGGGTGCCAGAAAGACCTTGAAGCAAGATGGAACAGCCCATCCTCAGGGAACCATTGGGAAGCAAACAGCTGTGAGGAGAAGGGGCATAAGAGTTTGGGCCTAACCACACCCTCTTCTGGCCCTCAGAAGGAAAAGGGATGTTGAGGTGACCCTCAGCAGTCTCACTTCCAGGGACTACAGAACCCTCCCCACGCAGTGCAGAGACAAGGGTGAAACAGCAGCCAGGTTCTCCTCAGATGGAGTTTGCCGTCCCTCTTCCACATGCTGCTCCCGCTCATGCTTCTCACTAAAGTGCATCTGGGGGTGCACAAAGAAAACAATGGCCCTTTGGATGCCTGAATGGGAGTGCACTCACACATAAAACTCTGGATGAACCTGTGGTCGTTTGAAACATGTTGAAATAAATGGAGCCATTTTGAGACAGGGTCTCACATGCAGTGTAGGCTAACCTTGAACTCACTATGTAGCCCAGGCTGGCCTGGAAATCATAGCGATACCCCTGCCTCAGGCTTCTGAGTGTTGGTATTAGAAGAGTGCACCATCACGTCCAACCACATTGAAATAAATCTTAACTCTTTAAAAGTTGTATTAGTGCATGTTAATATTACACCCTGATAGAGTTTATTCTGAGCTACTTTCATGAGAAATGGGGCCATGACCTGTAAATCATGGTCAGCGATTTCCACAGTTGTACTTTCTTACGCATTCAGGCACGATGAACAGAGCTCTGACTCTGGAAGGTTCTGAACGGGTTCCAGGATTAAAGACTCATGGTATCATTGTGAACTAAGGAGAAAATGCTCTAATGGGAGGGGAACAAGACAGAGAGGAGGGGAAAGGAAAGAGGGGAAAGTATAAAAATAAGAAAAGAAGGACAAAATGGAAACAAAGCATTTGCAGATGGGGAGGTGTGGAGGAGTTGAAAGGAGGCGAGGGGAATGGAAGAAAGGATGAAGTTATATCATGGACAGATACAAATTCTCTATAACGAATGTGATCATTGTGTACATCTAAAATGTACCAATCTGACTGAAAAGAAAAGAAAAACTGTGAAAACAAAAACAAATGAAGACGCATTACATGGGCCCTGGACACTGGAACCTGCTGGGGGAGAAGGGAGGCTGAGCAACACAGAGACGGAGTGACGTGGAGTGCTGGAACCTCCCGACAAGAGGAAAGGAAATGAAAACTAGAGGGAGGACTGTCTGAGGCAGTCACACAAGGTGGTCTGTAATACAAGTGTGCCCATTACAAGTTTCCTGTGTGGCTAATGGAGTCAGCAGGACACAGCTGGAGAGGACTGATCTCTTGTTTGGCAGCATGTCTTGTATCTCACACACTCCCTCTTGGAGGTAACAGTAAGTAGCAAATACTCCTAGCTTTGCCCATTGAAAATTGACAAGTTTGGAGAAGAATCACAAGTGTGGAGAGGTGTCTTCCTGGCCTCAGTGAGCACCCTGAGGACGATGAGCAGATTCCCCATTGTCGAGGAGGACCCTGTGCAGGTGGAGTCCCACAGCCCACTAGTGATGGTTCCACATCACGCCTTCACTCTATTTGCTCATTAACGTTTGAGCAAACGTCAGAGGATTTGGCTGTGCTTGTACAGGGAAAGGAAATAAGCAGTCATCACCAACAGGGGTGTGGCAGCCTCCTGGGACTGGTGAGGAGTCCTCGTGGGTAAATCTGAGCCAGTGTATAGTTCAATGGCAGAGCAGGGTCCGAACATTCTAGAGGCCCTCAGTTCCATTCCCAGCAGCATAAAAGTAAAGAACACTAAAAAGCAAGGTAAATCTTTTATCACACAAGGAACCAGTGACCAGCCCAGTGCGAGTTCTGAGCACACAGTAGGAACAACATTGTCACACAATCGTTATGTGTCAGACCCTGTGACCCAAAATCTTACCCAGTTTCTCTGAGTGAACTGGAATGTCAGGCAGGTGTCTGTAGCCAAAGATCGGTAATGCGTGGTTTTGAGGGGAAACTTTGTGATTTGAGGAAAATCAGATGAAATTTCCCCATTCTTTCATTCAAAGGACGTTTACTGCACATCAGAACTGCCAAGCTTTGTGCAGAATGCACTGGAGAAGCTCTGGAAAGAATGTGACAAAGTTGATACCTGAAACCAGAAAGTCATCCACACAATCCACACTCAGAGAACCACAGAAGTTCAGGGATTGCCCCAAAGTTTCCCCTCAATTTGGTTCTTGTTTCTAAGAATTCTTAAATTTTACCCATTTTATGGACAGAAATCTGCACCTTATATTTGTGGTGAATTGGCATGGTTTAAGATCACTGACCATGTAATTTATCAGTAGAAAAAGTACAATTTATCCCCATGGATGCAGAGACCAGACTCAGGTTTTGCAGTTGCTCCCATGGTGGAATAACAAACCTCCAGAAACATATTGGTTTCAAACAGTTATTTACCATCATCTCTCCTAGTTTTATGGTTTGGTTGGACTCACAGGTGTGTTTCATTTGGTTTCAATCAGACTGTGAGGGCAAGTTGAGCCTTCTGAAGAATTTGTTGAGCTGCGTGTCCAAATGATGCTTTAGGGTGCTGGAATCTTCCCATGGGGTGGTAGCAACACCTGAGGCCAGGCTGGATATCCCATTCTCATCAGGACACCTACAGGTATCTTGACTTCTTTGATCATGGAGGTCGCATGGTTGCTGCTCTTCATGAATCCTAACTGGCTTCCACCTAAGTGAGTCTTCCAAAGGGCTGAGCAAGAGCTGCAAGTCATCTAGGACCCAGCTTTGGAATGTGACATCACTGCGACCAAATAATATTTTTCAATGTAAGGCACACACAGCCCAAATGAAGAGGAGGTAACTGCACAAGGGCTTGGTTATTTTGTCTTATGTAGGGTTTCCTGTGAGTCTGGCTAGTCCTCCACCCTCCATTGCCAGTGACTTATACATTCCCTACACCATAAAGCACAAACTCCCTCCAGAGAACTATCAAATGTAATCCAGTTATTCGTAACAGGCTTCAGACTGATGTCC